TTGCAGCAATATTGCAACAACATTGCAATATTGTACATTCCATAGCAATATTGCAGAATTATTATATAGGCATAAATTTGCAATATTGTTTAAACAATGTTGCAGTAATATTTCAGAAATATTATAAAAATAAAATTCACGCAAAAATATTAGGTACAAAACATTCAGTCCGATCATGTATTTGGCACATTTCCAATAATCCAATAGTAATATTACATATATATTTTATTGCATTATTGCTGCAAATATATATTTCTGAAAACGGACATTTTATCGTTGCTGCAACCTTGCAGCAAAATTGCTGCAATATTTCACAATGTTTATGCAATGCTGTAATATTGCAATGGAATGTTGCCACAATGCTGCTGCAATCTTGTTGTATGGAGTCGCTATAATTTTAGAGTAGAATTATTCAATCAATTTTCACTCCATCGATATCAAAGGTGGAAGATATGCAATCGATACGTTGCTTCAAGAATTGTGCCTTAATTTTATTGATTGTTTCGTCTGTAACCTTTGGTGATAGAAGAATGTATACGTATCCTCCTGTAAAACCTGTAAGCTTTTCTTTTAATGCAAATTTATTTGCAATTGAGCAAACTTCATTGAATTTTGGAAGCGACAAATCATTATCCTTTAATAATTGCTGATTCCACATAATGTCTGTCTGCAAAATACGAAAAATGTTAGTTTTAAAACGGTACAGTTTCTAGCAGGTAATTTTGTACAAGCAGAGTACGAATTTTATCAATGCAGCAAAGCTAAAGAATATGCGTAATAAAAATATTATTATTCTTAAATAAAAACAAAAAATACCTCAAACTGACGGTAAAAATCCTGAATTAATCGGCGATCTATGAAATTATTACAAATAGAATGAAGCTTATCCCATATTTGTGTTGCTATTGTGTCTAATCTATCTAATAAACAATTGAAATAGATCGGATTTCTACGTCGCAGATCAATCATTTGTTGTGCTTGTTGTTCTTTATTTTGGGGAATATTTGTATTAATCAATAAAATCCTTAGTCCTGATACGAAATCGATAGTCTCCGTAAAATAAGTTTTATAACTCGTACGTCGACATTTTTTATTCCGCCGCGTACGCAAAGTTTGGCATCGATCAATGTGAACGTATTGTCTTGCATAATTTCTTCGCAGGATTTGGTGTAACGTTCAATTACTTCTAATTCCCGATTATTAAATGCAATATGATAACCTTTCTGTCGACGCTCCCAATGAAGAAAACACGCTGCCAAACATACAGCGAACGATGTCGAACTTCCAAGACCAGATCCAAAAGGAATTTCAGTGGTTACGCACACGTGAAAAGGTCTTCTCTCGAGATTGTTGGTCATCAAACAAAGCAGGTAGAAAAATATTTGTAAGCTAAATCGCTGCGCATGTCTTCCACATACGAGCCCAGTCTATAAAGAATTTCACGAATTTAAGAAACTCGACTGGATTTGACTGAATATTCGAAACATTTCTATGAAAAATAATGTTCAACTGTTACTAAAGATATATCGCATTGTAGATTGACACGAGGGAATTCTAGCTTAATAATTCTTTCTGCCATAGGTAGTTCACAGAATTCGAGATTGGTACGATGATCTAAACCGGCCATAACAAAATATCTTCCATACGTCGCCGAATGCTCTCCGGATAAGACGATTCTGCCCGGTGCGGAAATTTTAAAATTCATCATCCTTTTATCAATAAAATATCCTTTCTTCTTAGAACTGAAGTAGCGTTGAATAATACAGAATTGATAATTAAATTTGCGTATCTCTTACAAACACTGTTGTTAGAATCAATATATGAAAAATATATTCTTGTAAAGTAAGGGAACATTTAAAGATTATATTTATCGTTTCTTCTCGTCCTGTAAATGTTAAAAATGCGTAATGTGTCATTTATATATTATATGTGATAAAAATATCTCGTCTCATACGTTATCAAATGGATAAATGTATACAAAATAAGTATTTAAATTCATATACTTACATATTGTCTTTAGTTTTCGTTATATGAGTTTATTTTCAATTATAAGTTAACTCGTCTCAACTGTTTCTTTTAAAGCACCACATATATGACTTTATACACTTTAACTCTATTAAATCTTTGTAACGTAGACACAATAAAGGAAGGCCTAATAATAAGAATTTGAAACGTTCGCACACAAACAGTTTTATATGTCCTGTACACTTTTGTGTTTTACTTACTGACTGATTTCGTCTTGGAATACATATATATCATCTCGAAGTCTTGATTGAAATATAAAATACAATGTCAAACTTTTTCAGTATTCATAAGAAGGAAAACGTATGTGCGTGCTTAAACATAATCCAATTTAATAATAATATATTATTTTTAATATCATAAATCAGTTCTCTTATTGTCGTTTTAAATCATATGTTTAATTTCGCAATTTTATTTATATATAAAATATATGTACAAATGGTGTCATCAAAGTATAATACATATAAAGTATATATACATACATATTGTTGTGTGCCTCGGGAGAGACACCAGGGGGTCGCGCCAAATTGGGATGGGAATTCGGGGCGTCAGGACTTGTTCGGGTGTTTGAAGAAAATGCACTGCACTTTTCTTATTAAAAATCTTTATTCAAATTCAACCACTTGGCCTTTATTTATTTCACCAATACTACACTGAAGCTTTACCGGGTGTGCGGTACTGACTTTTTATCACTCCGCGTATCGCGCACAACTGCGAGTCGACGCTAGGTGCGCGCGCGGTTAGCAGATCATGTTTAGAGCGATTGTTTGTGTCTGCGACTGAGCGAGTTGGTGCGTCTCTACTCTACGAGTACTCATTTCTTAATACTAGTTACCTTTTAATAGTTATATCTATATCTTTGGGGGATATAACATATATATATATATATATATATATATAATTATTATATTATTTATTATATAAAATTGTTACATTAGAGAAATAATATGTCTTTTGTATGCATATATAAAACATATCTGGAAGAAGTTAGATGATTTATGGAAAAGAGGCACACATGAGCCTATGTGCCTTCTTCATCTATGGTTTCAATTGCATTATATTTCAATCATAAAGCATCCTATATTAATTAATTTACAAATTGAAAAAGTATTTTGTATATATATATTTATTGCAGCGCAACATCGCTCATATTCTTAAAGTAGGATAGAATATAAAAAAATATTAATATTTTTTGATATATTTTACAAAAAAAATTCAATAATTTTATTCATTTTTGATTTCATAGTTCGACGTAATTATGAGACCGTAAAATCTTTAAGCAACAAAATATATATAATGGTTTATTATGCAGGATGATTCATTCTATTCTTAATTAACAGAATATATATTGAAATCACAGAAAAAAATTATATGTAGAGTTGCTAGTTGCAAATTATTATTTTTAAAAATTACATTTATTCACATACATTTTCTTCACATCAATTGATTCCTCTTATTATTTTGTGTATAAAAGTATGTTGTAGAGTCGTCGAAAAGTTAGTATTTTATAAAATATTTTATATAATATTGTATTATGTAAAATTATGTCAAATTCAAATATAAAATATCTCGAAAATTTCAATATCGAATATTACGAGAAATCGATTTATATAAAAAGTTAAAGTCGTTTAAAAAAAAAGTTGAACTCTTAAACGAAAAATCTTACAAACAGTCCGAAGAATTTTAGGTGACCATTTTCTACTCACGATTAGTAAACAAACAATTGATTACTTCCACAGGTATATTTAACTTTTAACATAAAATTTCTTTCATATTGTTTTATGGAAGCCTTTTCTAATAATGTTTTTAACTCATCAAGTAATTTGCAGTCATTTAAACTCGTAGTCGAAAGTTTGAGTTGACCGCCACACATATTTTCTACACATTGTCATGATCCGCATAAGATCATATATTGTGCAAAATGTTTGAATTTTACATCTTCTTTATGAATAAATTTATTGCATTGTATAATATCGACGTGTTCTTAGAACAGTAATTGCAAAAAATTTGTTTAGCGTCGCAACTCTTGTAGATATTTGTTAAAGTTCTAGAAATCTATTTATATGTAACACAAATAAGAATACCGAGATAATATTTGTCGATTCGTTTCGTTTCGTATAAACTGATAATGCGTAACGATGCTTATGTGTGATGAACATAATTCATCATGTATATTTTATCAAATTTATATTTTTAAAAATACTTAAATTTAATCAAATCCTAATCCTTTCCTGTTGTTATCAAAATAACCGTATATTACCTGTGTCTCTTCTCTCAAGGCTCCACACAGAAGCCTGGATAATACATATTTTAATTATTAACTCTTATATTATAGAAAAAAAAGAAATATATGTAAATATATAGATAACGATAAATATACAGAAATATATATAATTATTCCAGAACGTAAAAAATAAATTGAATATAAAAATGGAAATTATAAATAGATAATATAGCATTTATCGAAATAATATACAAATTTTGTTATTATTTAAATAGATATTAGCAAAATTTCTTCTTCTGTTAAATATGTCTGTATAACTATATTACAACGATTTAAATTAATTACGACAATTATTATACAATAATATATCATATATACAATAGTTAGTAATTGTCTTAAGAAAAGAAGAAAATATTTATTTCTATTTCTTTTTTATATCTGTTTAATATACCAAAGATTTATCTAATAATAATTAAGAAAAAAGATAAAATCATTTTGCATTAGTACTGATGAGTTTGTGATATATCATCATATATGTACCTTATATATGATTTATACAATAAATTGTATCAAAGTATTACATATTTTTATATCTTTAAATTAAATATTACATCTATATATATATTTGTTTTTTTGACGGTACACACATACAGTCATGTATTTAAAGTTGCGATAATAAATATTATTCGGAAACAACAAAAAAGTATCGATATATGTTCTAACGACTCCTGATTAAAACATTGAAAACGTCTGATATATTGTTGTTTGTATATAAAGACATGACTTTAAATAACATTTTTATATGTTTTGAAGTGAAATTAGTCTAAATTGAGACAAGGAAGTGTACAGAAAATATAACCACTGTCTGGAGGGCGATAACGATGAACGTTTCAAATTCATATAATCAGTAGCTTTTCTTTTTTGCTTTGACGTTTTAAAGATTAAATAATTAAGAAGACATATGTGCGGTTCTCGGAGAAAAATAGACATTAATTTATCTGCCAAATAAAAACAAGAATCAAATAAACTGTAAGTATATTAATTTAAGTACTTTGCAAAGATATCCTTTGATTATACCTTCCATATTTTTATGTATAACCAATGAGATATTTCTGTCACATATGACTGACACGATACGCATTTCTTACACTTACAGATCGAGAAGAAACGACAAATATAATCTCGAAATTTCTCACCTTATGAGAATATATTTTTCATATATTAATTCCAATCAATATATTGGTGAATCCTACGCAAATCTAATTATCAGCCATTCTCTCTGCCATTCAACGTTGCATTCGTTGTGTCAAGAGAAGATATTTTTATAAAGATAAATAAAAAGATGATTAACTTCAAAATTTCCGCACCAGGCAGAATCATCTTATCAGGAGAGCACACGGTGACGTATGAAAAACATTTTGTTGTGGCCGGCTTAGATCTTCGCACCAAACTAGAATTCTGCGAACTACTTGATGAGCCAAGAAGCATTAGAATAGAGTTTTGTGGTGTACAGCAGGATTTATCTTTAGAAAAAGTTCAATGCTTATTTTCTCAACTTAATGTGCTAAATATGCCTAGATTTGTCAATAACTTTATCAAGGGTATGTGGAAAAAAAATGAAGAGAAATTAAGCTTACAAATGTTCTTTTACTTGCTTTATACCATCGTTTACAATAGCGAGCACGGCATGAAACCTTTTCGTTTACGCGTGTTCACTGAAATACCTTTTGAAAATGGTCTTGGCGGTTCGACATCATTCGTGGTTTGTCTAGCAGCGTGTTTTCTTCATTGGAAGCGTCTACAGAGTGGTGTTCATATTAGATTTAATGAACAAGACTTACAGGAGATTGAAGAATACACTAGATCTTGTGAGAACATTTTGCAAAGGGATGCATTTGCAACGATCGATGCCAAAGTTTGCGTATATGGCCGTATAAATAAATGCAAACATATTTCTTCTGATGTTTATGCTATAAAGCCTATAGATGTTAAAACAGGAATAAAGATTTTATTGATCGGGACACATCTTCGCCTAACAAAATAGAAAGAGATATACAAGTAGAACTTTTGTCTTCACGTTCTAGCAATTTCAATATTATTTTGAATGAATTGGACGAAATAGCAATAAGTATATTCGATGACCTAAATTATATTAATAATAATATAGAAGATCTCGATGCTTACAAAAACTTACAAGTTTTTGTTTTTTTTTCTTTTTATTTAACAACAAAATCATTTTATTTTATGCTATATTTCTTAGTTTTGGCGTTCTGAAAGATCCTTTATTACAATGTTTTGCCAGAAACTGTAGGTACAATATTATAATTAACATTAATAGAATATTTGTCAGTCAGCTCTCCTATTTTAAAAAACTCCATCTTCATCTCGACTAAGAGCCAAACGCGATGTTATTGCGACAAATTAATATTTAAAATTTTTTTGGAAATGAGGAATTTGAATCCTATGGTTGGGATCTCAGAAATTCCCCTTGTTCCTTCTCTAACATCCCCTGTAAGAAAAAGACGAGAAAAATATTGGTCCGAAAATCGGCTGAATCGGGAATCGAACCCGAGACTTTCGGATCAATATTTTTCTCGTCTTTTCTTACAGGGGATGTTAAGAGAAGGAACAAGGGGAATTTCTGAGATCCCAACCATAGGATTCAAATTCTCAGTTTCCAAAAAATTTCTAAATATTAATTTGTCGCAATAACATCGCGTTTGGCTCTTAGTCGAGATGAAGATGGAGTTTTTTTAAATAGGAGAGCTGACTGACAAATATTCTTATTAATGTTTGTTGCGTTTAGACCAGGTACGACGCCTTGGTGGGGGGTGGGGGTTATAAACATTGAGAGAAATATTGATTGTAAGTGTCTGAATAGCTCAGCTGGAAGAGCAGCCGCCCGGCAGCGGAAGGTCTCGGGTTCGATTCCGATTCAGCCGACTTTCGGACCAATTTTTCTCGTCTTTTCTTACAGGGGATGTTAAGAGAAGGAACAAGGGAATTTCTGAGATCCCAACCATAGGATTCAAATTCCTCAGTTTCCAAAAAAATTTCTAAATATTAATTTGTCGCAATAACATCGCGTTTGGCTCTTAGTCGAGATGAAGATGGAGTTTTATTATAATTAACATTTTTCGTTTTACACAGAGACATTAAGAGAAATCAACAAATGTTAAGCAGATATGATTTGTCGTATTTTGAATTTGATATTATTACCTGTCTTGGAAATGGATTCAATTTGGCAGGAAAGCTTACAAGTTTTAAAGGCAGCTATGTATACTTTCTGTTACCACCAATAATTGCAAAAGAAGAAATCACACGTATTACAAATCTTTTCTCATATAGAAAATGCAGTTACAAAATTGCTACAATAGGCTGTGACGGAGTGAGAATTGATAAATGATTCTACTATAAAATTATAACGATTATATATGAATAATTAATTATTGCTTAATTGATAGAATACAAAAATATGCGAAATTATTAACTTAATACTTGTGGAATTTAAAAAAAAATCGTAGTCTCTTATTAATAATGTCGTATTGAATAATGAAATAAAAAATAAGAAAACTTTGAGTTGAATTTTCTTCTAAAATATATCAAAAAATATTAATTTTTTAAATTCTATTTTATTTTGCTTGAAAAATTTAAACGATATTGCGTCGATATCATGCGATACAATATACATAAATTTTTCCTGATTTTACAAGTTAAATAATATAAACATTATAAATTATGGAAGTAATTGACCAAACTAGCAGATAAAATCGTTTATTTAATTTCACGACGTTTTGATCATATGGTTGTGGTCCTTTTCAAGTGAGAAAATAAAATAATAACTAATCAACTCCTCTTATCTCTCCATGCAGTGTCAAATTATAGTAATATTATATAAATCACATAAGTTATCAGAATCTGACGTGCTTTGGTTGGGATATGTTGTGGCAGTCTCTTATTTCCACTTTAAATTTGAATTTAATTAATTTTTATTTGTGACTTATATAATATTACTATAATTTGACACTGCATGGAAAGATAAGAAGAGTTGATTAGTTATTATTTTACTTTCTTCTTTGAAAAGGATCGCAACTATATGATCGAAACGTCGTGAAATTGAATAAATGATTTTATCTGCTGGTTTGATCGATTATCTTCATAATTTATAATAAATACTAGTGACTGTAATTAATATAATTTGGAATTTATTAATATAAACATTGCTTCATAATTTTAATTAATAAAATAAATTTTGAATAAAAAATAAGTCGAATAATTTTAAATTATATTTTTCGGCAACGCTTAAGAAAGAAAATAATTAAATAAAATTTATTTATTCAAAGTTGTGTATTAAATAGATATATGTATATACATATACATATGTATATCTGTTAGCTGTATGTTTAATTTTCGGCTCGAGAATCCTGAAGCAGAAATATTTTAATTCTATTCTTTAATTACATTTGAAACAAATGAATTTTTAGTATATAAAACTGAATTTATGTAAAAGAAAAGATATAAGTAATACTTCTTCTTCAGACGACCTCTATCTATTGTACAAATCCAATTGTAATAATTGTCGTAATTTATTTACATCTTAGTAATGCAGTCCTTTAACGTTACATATTATATGGACAATATCTTATATACATAATATGTATTACATATATATAGATGTTTATGTAATATATATAACTGATTAAATGATATTCATTTAGTAATTTTTTCTTTGTTAAAAGACCGGGGGTAATATTTCAAAATTTTCCATTTTTTATTATTCAATAATGCAATATAATTCAATGCACGAATTATGAAATACATTGTTTATTTGTGATTTATTAACATATATTCTGCTTTTGGAAATAAAGGATAATGTATAATTAAATAAATTATACATGCAATTATTTTCAATATATGTATATATATATAAAGTAATATTTTTGATATATTTTAAAATTATCAAAAACAAGTATTATATGAAAAGAATAATGTATTTTTATTAACTTGAAAATATAAATGTTTTTTCATATTTTATTTCATCATTCAAAGTAACTTAAAAAAATGTAAACCGTCATAGATATATAAAGTATTTCTCAACTTAACATACGAATTATTAGATTATTATTTAAAAAATTGAGCACAATTTTCTTTTGCGATAATAATGATTATATGAAAAGGACTGCATTACTAAGATGTAAATAAATTACGACAATTATTACAATTAGATTTGTACAATAGATGGAGGTCGTCTGAAGAAGAAGTATTACTTATATCTGTTCTTTTACATAAATTCAGTTTTATATACTAAAAATTTATTTGTTTCAAATGTAATTAAAGAATAGAAGTAAAATATTTCTGCTTCAGGATTCTCGAGCCGAAATTCATGATACATTTAGATAATTATTAAGTCGAAACGAAAAAGCTGTTATAATTAAGATTTGTAAAATAACAGGGATTGTGATATATTTGTCTTTAATGCCCAAATTATATAAAATTATGTTATATTAGATAATATAATTTTATATATTATAAATATTAATTCTTATATGTCTTAATATTATGTACTGACCAAAAAGTTTATTTTTATTTGAAACATATATATATATATGTATATTTAAATATATTGCGAAATTGAGACCTGTAAATATGATATATGTGTTGTATTAATGCAAATAAATAATGACAATTAGTCTAATTATTAGCTAAAATTTATACAGGTATCATTTTTTAGTTTCTTATATAAGTACGTATATGTATAACATTAGTCGACAAAAATGATTCTTTCTTTAATTCAGAGATTTCCAAAATGTGTTTTGGAGTAAAAAATGGATCTCTCCCCTAGACGACATAATCTCGATGGATTAAAAAACTTTCGTTATTATACACGAGATTTTATATTTTCTTGTGTTAATTCATTTGCGTTACAATTATATTTAATTTCTCAACAATAACAACGTTTGAAAGATTTAAACGTAGGTAGCGATTGTATTGTCAGTAGTTATACTAGGGGGGTTCTAACTCAGGGGCAATGAGGGGGGTGCGGGGCGGGGGGAATCGGGGGCGAGGGGGGTGACGTCACGCGGGGGGAGGGGGTCTTATCAGTAGATAAGCTTATCTTTTGTTTATAAACATATCAGATAACCTGATAAGGGGATCATGTTACCTGATATATTTATAAACAAGATAAGATAAGGGGATCATGTTACCTGATATATTTATAAACAAGATAAGCTAAGTTTTCGAATCCAAGATAAGCGGCGTCTTTGTAAGGTATCAAAGATAAGCGGCGTCTTTGAGCGGTATCAAAGTTTTCATAAATTTTCTCCGAAGATAAGATAAAAATTCTGCGAATGGCTGCCGCATTTCGAGCGCCGACAATCAGGGGGAAGGGGGGGGGTTGCGTTTCTTCTCCTTATACGTTATCTGTATATTTTAAGAAATATAATCAAATTCTAAGAAGGGCCACCGCTTGGCATACGCCGACAATCAAAGGGGTTGCGTTTCTTCCCCCATACGTTATCTGTATATTTCTAAGAAATATAATTAAATTCTAAGAAGGGCCGCTTGGATCCGAGCGCCAACAATCAGTTCTCTGAAAATCTAAGATAATCAAATTTTAAGAAGGGCCACCGCTTGGCATACGCCGACAATCAAGGGGGTTGATACATGATCTATACATATATTTCTAAGAAATATCAGCGGGTAAAGTTTCAGGGCGAACAAGTTGCTGCCTGCAACCTCGCCGCTTGCGACCTCGCTGCCTGCAATCTCACCGCTTGCGGCCTGCGACATGTTTTTGCATGGGATTGTATATCACCCTCGCGGTACCTCCCCAATAAGCGGCGGTTCTTTATTGTTTATCTTAGGAAGAAATACCAGCGCCGATAACCAGCGGCTGCAGGAATTTATAAACAAAACAAGCGCCGAAAATTTACGTCATCTAAATTTTTCTCGTTCGTACGTTGACGAACAAAGAGTTGATCGGGGATATATAATGAGGACCGATGCCGCTGCCGGGCCATAGTACCACTGGCGAGCGCATGC